TAGACTATCCGTTGCATTTGCTGGCTTCAATTTTGAATGAAGATTGTGATTTGAAGATTCCTCATTGGAATGGGTGTTTGGACATACCCAATTGTTAAAGGAGAGATTCCTTTTTCCATAGAGTCCGTCTTCTAGCTGTTGTTCAAGTATTCTGGACTGTAGAACTTTACTCTGTTTGTCTTCTAGTGCTTGTTTAGGAATTCTGGATAGGTTCTTCAATTCTTAGAAGTCCAGACTTTGTCTTCGAGTCATTTGTTCTTGAATCAGCATAATTATCTTCAATCTAGCCGTTGAAAATCAAGAGATTGATTTTTCCTTACCAACGGGTAGAATTTCTTCATTCAAGACTTAGATAATTTTCTAAGTCTTTTCTCACTTGTCCGCTTTTTGAGAATTCCGGTCTTCCCTGGGGCATCCGGTTCTTAGCTGAGAAATCCGGAAGAGTCATACTTAGTTTTCCTGGTGAGAAGGAAATCCGCGCTAGTCTTCCGACTTAGCCTTCAGCGGGTTGTAATGAGACATCCGGTTCTCATGTAGTATTCCGGATAGGAGGATCTTTACTTGTCTCTGACATTTCCGATCAAGATATCCAATTTCCAAATTTCTGAATTTGATTAAGTCTTCAGGCATCAAACCGTTAAAAGAAATATCAACACTTTATTGGAAATCTCAAGAACTTGGTTTTAACAATATTTCTAAAAGGAAAAATTACATTGAATATCTGGGGAAACCTAAAGTCCCTATTACATTCTAAATACATCATCATCAAAATCTATGATATTTTTCCCAACAACTCAGTATTGTATGGTTAAGTGTTCTTCTGGAGTAGAATATTCTTGTAACCCAATAATGTTATGAATAAGATTATGGCAACTTTTTTTGGAGCTCCAAACCCGAGTACAAGAAAAGTCCCCTTATTAAATGGGAGGATGTCTGCACACCTAAACAAGAAGGTGGGTTGGGGTTGAAGAACTTGAAACATTGGAACCAGGCATGCATCATGAAACTTATGTGGGATATAGCCAATAAAAAGAATTCACTATGGGTCAAATGGGTTCATAGCAAATATCTCAAGAGGAACTCTACTTGGGATTATGTTATTAAAGCTGATGATTGCTATTATTCGAAGAAATTGATTCAAAAATGAAGGTTTTTCATGGGCATGGGTACACCTAATAGCTACAGTATAAAGGATTGGTATAACTGGCTAAGAGGCACACATGAAAGAGTTGAATGGGCTGATTTGGTTTGGAATAAATGGTCAATTCATAAACATAGTTTCATTGCTTGGTTGATATGGAATGGTAGAATCCTTACTAAGGATAGACTAAATAGATTTATCACATTGGACACAACATGTGTAATGTGTAACAAGGAGGAGGAAACTTGTGTTCATCTCTTTTGCTCTTGCCCATTTACTAAAGTAATTCACAGAATGCTCTCCGTATGGTTACAACATGATATCTCCTCAAATTCTATTGATGAGTTGGGTGGGAAAATGAGGATGGGGAAGAATAGGAAAGATCCATGGCTCATTGCTACATGTATAAATACATGCTGCTACTTGTTGTGGAAGGCCAGAAACATGAAGATTCACAGCAGCAGGGAGGTGACCATAGAGGCCCTATTACAGAAACTGAAGTCTACTGTAACCATGGTTGTAATACCCTAATCCGTCCAGGTCTGCAGCCCCTTTTGGACTAAAGTATTAACTTGATAATCGTAAACATTTAAAACATTTCAAACATCTTTATTCATCATAAATAATGTTCAATACATAATTGTAGAAATACGGAGTGTTTAATAATGCGGAAGAAAATTTAAAACATGTCTCATAACAATCATAATTAATTATTTAAATCCACACATCCATCACGACCGTCTCGCCCTATCTGTCTCCAAGGACTCGTCACTTCATTCTTTTTGTTTTCCTGCGTGTAGCAAATAAAACATACTACACGCTCAACGGTAAAGCTGAGTAAGCATATCTAATGTGTTGAACATCCAAATAAATTGAATCTCAATTCATAATCAACCATTTGATATAATGCACACAATATTCACAATATTTTAATTCAAGTCATTTCATGATATATACAATATTCAATATTCAATATCTCAATAGTGATCTTAAATAATTATGAATCTAAGGCCAAATCATTTTTATAACAAGCTCTTAGCTATTCTTAGTCGAAGACAATGTTTCTAATCGGGCTCTTAAGCTGTAAATAGTTTAAGGCAGAACACATGAGTCGATAATCCACCCTATGAGTCTTGTGGATTACGTACCAACTGAACAGTGAACTGTCGGGTGGGTTATATCCAATTTAGATCCCGTACGTACATTTTAACCCCAAATTTCTGAATTGGTCATGTAGGTATATCTTAGAGTTCTTCTGCATATCCTTAATAGTCATCATCAATTTCCAAATGAGTGTATCTTAGAGTTCTTCTAGATATCCTTAACAATACACACTATTTTCATGATCATCAATATATTCATTTTTAGTCATGTTTTAATCATTCACAATAATCACTTTAATCAGTAAGTTCATCAATATTTAATCATCAATTCATCATAATCATCCATAATAATAATCATCATAATATTCAATACCAATTAGCGGCCTAGCGTCGAGCGTTAACACTCGAACTTTCCGTTATACATCATATAAGGTCATTGGATTTGTCAAAACATCATATTTATTTCCAGAAATCATTTCCATATTGATCACATTTCTTTGATAACAAGAATATGATTTAATATTTCAAAAATAAGTTTTATGAAAAGTTTCTCTGGTCTAAGCACATAATAATCGATTAATTGAAGATAAGAAAGTCGATTAATTGCTACTGCCTTAAATACTTCAACGGAATAAGAAGTTAATCGATTATTCAAGCTGAGATAATCGATTAATGGATGGATAATTCATTAAGCTTGATGAAATAATCGATTATCTGCTACTGAGTTTAATTGTTTCAGTAGAACGAAGATGTAATCGATTATTCATGTGAAATAATCGATTATTCCTCGTCTTCTTCCTCGAGTCAAATTTTGAAAATGTCACTTTTAGTCATCGAACTTCAATTAAAGTATATAGAAATGTTCTCCAAGGTTCATAGATCATTTTGATATCACTAATTTGTAGTTTTAACATCAATTTCAAGGTTTATGATTCTTGGTTCTTTAAGCTATCAAAGACAAAACTCAACAAAACGACCGCTTATGAACGTAGAAATGATCTATACGAACATTCTAGTCACTAGATATATCTACGGGCTTACCTCAATTCTTAACGAAAGTTTTGAAAATTTTCTGGAGAAACTTCTGGCAAACACCACGGCTTGCTCCAACGACTTCAAACCAAATTGACATCACCACTGTGTTCTCCACACTCAAGGCTAACTCTCAAAAACAAATTTGAAGGAAAATGGTGGAGAAATGAGGTAGGAAAGTGTTTCTTATATATTGAAGAGGAGGAGAAAAAAGCCAAGCCTGGGTTATTTCCTTTTCCTATCACATCGGCTGAATGGGGTGAGCGGCGTCGTTCTGAGATTTTGTACATCATCCCTAATTGGGACTAATTTGGTCCCAGTCAGGATACACTTTTTAGTCCAACTTTCTCTGAATTAAAATCTGATTGAACTCTTGCTGTCAGACAGTCAAACTCTACACAACAATATAATTTTCGTTATTTATTGACAAACTTTATAAATCACTTATTTTTGGGTCCTTCTCCGTAATTAATTAATTCTGATAGACTTATTTTTGGGGCGTTACAATGGAAATAATGAAGTAGCAGTTAGTAAAGCAATGCAACTTTCGACGTTGAGCCGGGGGTCTCTTTGGAAACAGCCTCTCTACTTTCGAGTAGGGGTAAGGTCTGCGTACACACACCCTCCCCATACCCTACTCTTGTGGGATTTAACTGGGTTGTTGTTGTTGTTTACAATGGCGATAAGAAATAGACATGCTTCTTAAAGTGTGATGTTTCTAAGCTTTATGATTTGTTGTGTTTTTTGTGTGTAGTAAAGCAGTAGGGGGTATGGGGACTTGTATATTTACCTTCTTGGTGTTTAATATATATGGTGTGCTTTGTTCAAAAAAAAGTTCATTGCAGCAATAACTCTAACTATAATATCACATATATCAATTTACCTAGGTATGATCATATGTATAGTTTCCAAGTTACATCATTGGGCCTGAAAATATTATACTTCTAAAAATAGAAGAGATATTTTTTTCT